CTCCACTTCTCCCATGCCTACTCCCTAAAAAACTAAACCAAACCCATTGCCATGGAGTCAATTCCGACTCATAGCAACCCTATAGCACAGAGTAGAACTGCCCCATAGAATTTCCAAGGAGCACATGGTGGATTTGAACTGCCGACCTTTTGGTTAACAGCCATAGCAGTTAGCCACTACGCCACCAGGGTTTCCGTCTACTCCCTACTTATTGTCATCTCAACTTAAACATCATTTCCTTAGGACCCCTCCCATGATCCTTCAAGAGAAGACTATGTAAAATCCTCCATTAACCATTGTATTTCATAGCATCTACTGGAACTCTAAATAGTGTATAATAATTTAATACACATCTCTGCTGCTACTGAGTTCCTTCACTACCTATTTCATCATTTTATCTATGCTATATACACATTGTAGGCTTTCTAACATATATGATCTTATACCTACAGCTATGAGAACACCCTTAATCTCATAGCTATAGGTAATTAAAATCATACGTGTTAAAAAGCCTACACTGTTTCTACCATGGGAATGTTGACCAAGTTTAAGTCATTTTATAACAATATGCATTTAATTGGTCTTTTCCTTCTCAGCATATAGTCTGTTAATACTTATTAAATTCTAAATCAAACGGTATGACAGAGTCAATAAACTAAAATGGAATTGCCCTGCTTTCACACAAAAGGATGAATTGATGACCCAGACGGGACAGTCAACAACAATGCATAATGCAAAAGTGAATTGTCTAGTAGCTCAGAGAGTGACAGCTGGATTTCAGTTTAAGGATAGGCAGCAGGATGTCTAATTCATCAGGAGAAAATAACCAAAATATCCAGTTGTGTTCCAGGATTAGAGAAACTACTAGGCTGTGATCTTCCAGAAGCAGATCATCAGGCTTGTCTTCCAAGACATCTGCGGGTAGGTTTGAACCATCAACCTTTCAGCTAGTAGTCAGTCAGTCGGGCGCTTAACCGTTTGCACCACCCATGGACTCCTGAAGTCTGTATTTGTTATTGTTGAATGCCACCGAGTCGATTCCTACTCACAGTGACCCCATGTGACAGAGTTGAAATTGCTACATAGGATTTTCTTGGCTGTAATCTTTATACAAAGCAGAGCCCTGGTGGCACAGTGGTTAAGCATTCAGCTGCTGACCAAAAGGTCGGCAGTTCAAATCCACCAGCAGCTCCTTGGAAACCCTA